CCAAGTTTTCATCTGGTCTCCAGAAAACAGAAAATTTCGGTTGTTGTAACCGAAATTCAATTATACGAACCGAATCTTTTTTTCCGTGTATGACAAAATAACAAGAAATCTGTCATTAATTTTAGCCCAAATGCGCGTGTCTGTTAAAAAAAAATTTGTTCCTCCAGGTCGTTCCTTTTTATATTCGCTGCTTGTTGGAGTGGTGGGGTGGCGGAGAAGGGGAAGAGGTTATGGGAGGGGAAAGAGGTGGTGGAATTGATCGGTTTTCAATAACCGGAAGAATGGTCTTCCATAGTTTATTTATGTTGTAGCCATTATCTCTATTTAAATTGTTAGGGTGTTTTTGTGTCTCTATGGCTTCTCTATACTTTCTTGGAAAGTATAATGTACTGTTAGCTATTGTGGTCGTTTTGTCAAACAGTATTTGAAGTCCTGTTTCGATGTTGTGTTCTGATAATGCCGACTGCGTAGTGTGTTTTAGTCTGACATCACGTTCTTTAATCTGTAGATTGACCATTCTCCGGGTTTCTCCAATGTATACTTTCCCGCAGGAACAAAGTATTTTGTATACTCCTGCGGAACTGAGTGAAGGTCTTTGATCTTTAGGATTTCTTAAGATTTGTCTTTTTGGGTGGTTTGAAGATAGTTCGGATAGTTCGGATTGTATTTGTTTAATATCTTGCCATCCGATCTGTTGTTCTTTTGACGTGGGAGAATGGTTAGGATCCTTTCATCTGGTTGCGTGTCAGAGTCTATTGTCTTGTTATAATGTGTTGTAAAATATGGAAGACCATATTCTCCCGGTTATTGAAGACCGACCAATTCCACCACCTCTTTCCCCTCCTACAACCCCTTCCCCCTCTCCGCCAATCCCCACTATCCCAACAAGCAGCGTAATATAAAAAGGAACGGCCTGGAGGAACAGCTCAGTATCAGACTCCTCGCCCTGATGAAGTGGACTGCAAGGTTAACGAAACGTTGGCATCTCAAGAATGGATCTGGACACGGAGGAAACTCGCGAAACGCATAACCTTTAGATAGAAAAAAATTTTTAAATAAAAGTTGTACGGTTTCAAGACTTTAAAGTTACAAAAAAAAAAATTTTGTTAATTTTTTTATTTAACAAAATACCTCCACCACCCATAATTTTCTTAAATTTTCAAATTTTTTTTACCAAATTAAAGTTTATTTTTATACAAATTCAACCATGTGTAATGAAGTTACATTACGACATATCATTTTTGAAAAGTAATTATTAACACTTCCGTACGTTATCCATGCTTATATACGTAAATAATTGTCGTCGGAACTATAAAATACATAAATAAATCAACGAATAAAGAAATTGACATGATAGATATTTGTAACATTACAAATTATAAGTAATGTTAAATAGCCATAATAATTTTTATTTTTTTCTCTTAAAGTGAGTAAAATTTTTTAAATTCATTTCTGTACATTACTTCCAGGGTTGGTAGAAAAAATCCAGTGGGTGGAAAAAACCAGGATAAATTCCGGATTTTACCGGTCCGGAGTTTATCCACTGGAATAATAAACTAG